TCCGTGAAACAGGAGCCCCGAACCTGTTCATTACGATGACATGCAACCCGACCTGGCCTGAGATCAAGGAAAGCTTACGCCGTGGGGAGAAAGAATCCGACCGACCGGACATCGTGGCTCGCGTGTTCAAGGAGAAACTAAAAGCTCTTAACGAGGATCTCGATGAGGGTGTGCTGGGGATTCAAGCCGCTTGAGTCCATGTAGTGGAATATCAGAAGCGTGGTCTTCCCCACGCCCACATACTGCTTATCCTGCGTCCGGAGGACAAGCCCACTACCAAGGAAGACGTCGATAAGCTGGTGTCCTCGGAGCTCCCGGATAAAGAGAAGTACCCCGAGCTGTACGATACGGTGATTTCCAATATGCTGCATGGACCCTGTGGTCAACAGAGCCCGAGCTGCACGTGCATGAAGAACGGAAGGTGTTCCAAGAAGTTTTCAAAGGCGCTCGCGGACGAAACGGTGATGACCCCTGACAAATACCCCACGTGCAATCCTGGTCGCCGTCCGGATGGAATTTGTGCCATAGGGGAACGTATGGGACAACGCGACCATCAATCAGTGGGTGGTCCCGTACAGTTCGTTCCTGTTGCAGAAATCAAACTGCCACAGTACGGTCGAGATTGGTGCCACGAACAAGGCCATCAAGTACATCTACAAGTACGTCTACAAGGGCTCAGACATGACGACAATAACGATTGAAGGCGAAAAAATTTGGGCGAGCGAAATTCTTCTGTATCTCCTCGGGAGGTATATTTCTCCGGTAGAAGCTTGCATGCGGCTATTCATGCATCCAACACAAGGATCAACACATTCTGTCGTGACGCTACCTATCCACTTGGAAAGAATGAGCATGGTTGCTTATCGCGACCAAGCGACGACCCCCAGCTTCACAACTTGATTAACCGCGGGGACAGATCAATGTTGACGGGGTTTTTCAAGCTGTGCGCGCGTAACCCAGAAGCTACGGCCACTCTACTGTACAAGGATGTACCGCGGAAGTACAAGTGGACGGAACACAAGACGTGGGAACCGTATAAGAAGTACGTTGCTTCTCTAGGACGCTTGGTACACGTATCTCCGCAGGACCCGGAACGCTTCTACTTGCGACTTCTCCTGTGTAACCGACGCTAGCCTAAATCCTTTGCGGATCTTCGAACGGTTGATGGTACGGAACATCCTACATATCAGCAAGCAGCTTTGGCGCTTGGGTATTTGGAAAATGACGACGAGTGGATACATTGCTTACGCGAAGCCGCCGAGGTCAAGATGCCGTACCAGCTACGCAACTCTTCGGCATCATTTTGGTTTACTCGATGCCTGGCAATGCCAAAGATCAATGGGACAGGTTCAAGAAGGATATGTCAGAGGATTATGCACGAAGCATTGAGGTAAGAGACGCAGACCTGCATAATGTACGCGAAGAGGAGGCGCGTCTTCGAATGGCGGAGTACAAGGTGTCGAAGAACTTGGCTGACTTCTTGGTTCCGAGCCAAACGTCCCTCGAGATGTACGGCCTTCCTCTGCTAGCCGATTACGACGATGTATCTGCTCAAATGGACGATCCGGATACAGCGTCTGCTGATGTTGTCCAGCAAGAGATTGACGCGTACCCCCAAAACGAACTGGAGCATGTTGCGGAGCAAGCAGACCCCTTAAGCAGCAACCAGAGGGATATTTTTGACCAAGTTATTGCTGCTGTGAGCAGACCGGTTGGATGGGAGAAGCTGTTCTTTTTGGGTGGTCCGGGTGGAAAAGGAAAGTCGTTTCTACTCGAGCAAATAATCGCTCACGTTTGGATGCAACGTAAGGCTGCCATCGCGGTTGCTTCGAGTGGGATTGCAGCCACTCTGGCAACTGGAGTTCATACCGCGCATTCGACGTTACGGATTCCCCTCAAACTAACAGAGCCGTCGACGTGCAGCCTTTCATGGCAGAGACAAAAAGTCGAATTGATTCGTAGCGCGAGTTTGATCATTTGGGACGAAGCGCCGATGATGAGCCGAGCTTGCTTTGAGGCTGTTGACAGGTCGCTTCGGGGTATTATGAAGAACGAGCTGGAGCCGTTCGGCGGAAAGGTAATGGTGTCCAGCGGTGATCACCACCAGATTATACCTGTACTGAAGGATGCTACGCGTGCGGAGACGATTCAAGCTTGCTTCAAGTCTTCGCCGCTATTGGAGCATTTGCGTCAAGTGCGGCTAACCGAGAACATGCGTGTCCGCACCGCCCCAAACGCGGCCAGTGCGGCTGAGTTCGTGGAATTCTCTGAATTTTTATTTTTAATTGGAGAAGGCCGTTACCCAGTCAACCATGAGATCGGTGCTGGCGATATATGCCTCCCGCGCGGCATGCGTATCATTCCAGAACGACGGGTACAGCAAATGACCTCTGATGAAGAAGACGCGGATATGAAGCCTCCCCCAAGTTTCAGGCTATCCCCTCCGGCGGACGAGGAACACGAGCGAGATTTGGACGAAGTTGAAGAAGACCGACGAGTTCGCAACGTCAACGCACTCATAGATGCAGTGTACCCGGGCGTTGATACCGAGAATTTACCCGATGAATACTTCGTTGAGTGAGCCATACTAGCCCCCACAAATACAAGTGTTCGGCGTATCAACGACATGGTTGCAAAACGGCTTTCGGGTAAAACGAAGGAGTATCTCTCGGGGAGCAGCCTCGAAGGGGTCGCGGATGCAAATATGTTTGAGCAGGAGCTCTTGTATTATCTTAACTTCTCCGGTATCCCTCCGCACAGGATTGTTCTGAAGGTTGGAACACCTATCATCACGATTAGAAACCTGAATAGCGACGCAGGACTTTGCAACGGAGCGCGGCTTCGGGTTGTGTCACTGGGCGAGAGAAGCGTCGAGGCCAGCATTATGTCCGGGCCGTTCAAGGGTAAGAAGGTGTTCATTCCTCGGATCGTCTTTTATGGTGAGGACGATGACAAGGAGTTCCCGCTCAAACTCAAGCGTAAACAGTTCCCCGTAGCTCCAGCGCTCGCCATGACTATTACCATTGGCCAAAGTACTATCGATCCACCACGTGGGTATATACTTGGAATCACCGGTATTCGCCCATGGGCAGCTTTATGTGGCGTTGTCGAGAGTGACTTCAAGGAAGGCGATCAAAATTGCTGTGGATCCAGAGGCCATCGATGAGGACGGGAACGTACACACCAACAATATTGTGTACAGAGAGATCTTTGGAACGCGAACTTGGTAGGGCACGTAATGCATATAATGCATTTAGCTTTGATTTCGAAATGTTCTCTAATCCGCCGCAGCGCACCGGAGGCCGTCAGCCCACACTACACCAACCAACCATGCCCTAGCGTCCGCGGCCAGAGCGCTAGTCCTAAACTATCAATGCAAGCACGGCGTCTGTCCGTCCGTCACACGAAACGCTCAGGTTTTTGGGCATTCTCATTGGCTGTCGAGTGGAGCGAATGCGGCTCTGATAGGTTAAAACCGGATTATGTAACTTACATCAACAAATTCATATGATTCACAGAGTACATATGGAGATTTGCACAAGGCGGCATCGTTTTAATATTACGAAGTATTAATATTTTAAAAGTGCATATTTCTTTTAATATATGTGCGAAACAGACAGAGCTACTTATTCTCAAATGAAATAGCTGCTAAAGACGCTTCCTAAACTGCAAGGTGCTTAGCGTACACGTAGAATTCGATTTTTCGAGGCCATACTTTAATATACGTAGTAATTTGTACAGTACTTAATCGTTTCTTAAGTTACAATGACTTTATTAAAATAACTACATCTGTTTTGTTGTAGAAGTAATAATAAATCTGAGAGTGAGGTGACTGAGCTGCCAAATCGTAGTACATGTACAGTACAACAGAAGCTGGCCATAAGAGCTGACCGTAAGAACAACGCTGCTAATAAACGTTGCCACTTGATCCATAAAGATAGATAGTTTTAGATTGAATAAAATGAACTCATATGTGCTACTGCTGTAAATCATTGTTTTCTAAGAGCTGTTTAGACAGCAAAATCCGATACTACTTAACGGGTGGACGTGTCGCCGATAGGGCGTAGGATACGATTTTAAATGGAGCGGTAAGACAACAACAAAACACGAGAGGTGTTAAGTATAGTTGGTTAAGTAGATTTCATAAAGAAACGTTAATAACTTGGAGCCTAAATGACGTTTAACCATCCTGGAATCATCGTTACACTATCAAACAGAAAAACACCGCCGTCAGCAATAGCAACAGCGAGGCATCTTGCGACGCATTATCGAGATGCTTTAATCCTAACTGGCACAGATTAGAGTGTCTAATGACACATTTTGAATCAGCTCAAAATGAGCGCTAAATGTATTAAAATGTACAAAATTAAAAATTGTTTTGTTTTTCATTGAGTTTGGTATGAGAAGTGATCAATCTTTAGCTACTTACAAGATTAAACAGGGTAAGTAGTGCAAGCTTTACTATCTTTTGCGCTGACGTGAGCTAAGTTTCATGGCTCAGAAACGGCCCGTGGTATCGAGCACGACGCTAAACTAAACATATTGTGTAGCATTTGTATAAATGTTATTTGAAGTACAGGTGGTTTTGGGTGGAAGATGAAGATAGCCAACAATAATAAAGAGGTTGTAGTAAGAATCTTGATTCAGGATAATTAGAATATATTTTTTTAATCAGGTAAGCATGATGCTGACCCAGATAACTTAATAAAATTAAAAATATCGAGGCGCATAGGGGGGCCTAGCTTTTTGTAATATTTAACCCGCCGAAGCGTAGCGGAGGCGGGAAGGGCAAAACAAGTAGAACTAAACCTAAACTACCGACGCGTAGCGGCGGCGCTTGGCTAGTTATACTACTAGTAGTAGAAAGTAAGCAACGTCATTTCCTCTAAACTGAGAGAGGTGCACCGCACATCGCCCAAACCTGCAACGCGACAGTTAATCTTAGAGTTGTAGCTTTCCGTGCCATCCGCGCATGCACGCCACAACAATTCTAAACGCCCATGGCACAGCTCGCCCGTCTTCAAAAGCGCCTCGATGCGCACGAACGAATTTTCACTACGGTGCCTGGGCTCGCAGAATTCGTACTAGCGCTGAACACCACGAATAAACAAACATGCGCAGTGCGTATGTGTTTTCTTCGCGGCGACCACTTCACAACCGGTAAGTACTGTCCGCTTGCATATGCATCACACTTACTTCATGACTTGGTACTCTGGCAGATCGCTCCAACGGAACGCATCTAGAATTCGTCGACGCCGAGTCCGCCCAGTCTTTCGTTAAGGTGCGCAAGATGATCCTTTCGGTCCCAACCAACATAACAAACGGCGAAACCCGTCGCCTTACTATGTGGGAGCCAATCGACCTCTCACTCTTTGTCCCCGGTACGTTCTCCTCATGAATTAATAAATGGCAATAACATTAAAAAAAAGCACGCTTTTACTTACACTTGGTGAATGCAACAGGCACCGTGTACGAGATCCGCCACCTTTTCAAATTCAGCATGTATAAAAAAATGCCACAAGCATGGGTGACGCAAATTTGCGCTGCGGACAGAGTGGTGTGTACGGCACCTTACACCACAGACAGTACAACCGATGACCACGGCGACGCAATGACTACTGAAACACTTGGTACCAACAAGCTTAAGCGCAAACTCTCCGCAACGCCGCAAGACAACGCTACAATGGCTTCTCCACCGACAAAACGTCACCACACAAGCGAGCAAACACCGCTCGAGACACCGAAAACACAATTGAACAACAAGTAGTAGCACAACGTCTTCGCAACAAACGACCAACACCTTAGCCATGCTGACTTGTTTTTCGTAACGGTAAGGAGGGAATGCAGGATTAGCGTCGGATGGTCCGACAAACATTAATGTGACACTCAATTTGCATCACGCTAACCAGCACATATATGTATATCGCTAGTGGGACACGCCGGGCACCCCGGCCATAAAGCGAGCCGCTAGGTGAGAACTGCCACAATTTTTTTGCTACACTAATACGTAACCTTGTTTTATGTTTTGAAACAAATTGTCTAGATCACTTTAGAGCCTTTTCTAGTAGGAAAGGTTCTAGACATAAAAATTAAAACGTTTTCTGATGTACGGGTAGATACCGGAATTAACGTATTTCTTGCAACATCGTAAAAACGCTTTTGAAGTATAGTCGTAAGAGCTAAAACAAACGAAAATACTCATAACCCTGCACTAATTTTCCCGCCAGAAGTACTGGTGGCGGGCAGCATCACTGGCGAGCTAGATTGCTTAAATATTCATTTTCTAAATGGGCAGGACATCACTAAACAAGAATCGCAAGAAGCACGAAGCGGTGCAAGCGGCAAAAGCTCAAGGAATCAGCCAAACACTCGCCGACGAGTACGACGTTAACAGGACGACGTTGTGGCGCTGGGTTCAAGACGCAAAGCGTGTCGAAGTGGCTGCAAAGGAGAAGCCCAACAAACCTTTGTCACCGAAGGCAAGCGGGGCCCAAAGCCTCGGTTCTTGGCAATGGATCGAAGGTAAAGCTTTGAAGAATTAACTATTACGTTTTATCGCTAACATTGTTATTCTTCTTACTTATGTACCACAGATTGCTTAACTGGGTTATTGAAATGCGCGCAAACAAATCCCGCTGTAAAAAATTGAGCTTTATGGCTGGTGGAATTTAGGAAACATTTAAAAACTCTTTTTTTCTATGTATACTTTACAGGCGACCGAATGTCTTCTTATCATGGCAGCCCGATTTGAACCCGATTTTTTCTCTGGTCGCTCTGAGATGGCGGCAATCATGTACCTGCACAGATTTCGCAGACGACACCGCTTGTCCATTCGGTGCATCACTCACCGGGGCACCAAAAAACGAATTGAAATGGAGGTAACTTGCGGTTGCATTGTAAGAGCTCTCTTATTTGGTTTTATCATTCTAATGTTTCATTTAATATAAAAGTGTCTAGAAAATTGCTGACGAGTTTTCTAAAACTGTTCAATACAGTTTAGAGAAGTCTAGTGTGGTGTCCCACATTGTTGGTTCTGCTAAATTCGCGTCATGGATCAAACGGCAGTCTACATCGACATGAACCCCAACACGACGATCGACTTCGTGGGTGCCAAACACGTCGACGTCGTCCAAGGTAATTTTTATTTTATTTTATTATTTTAACCTTTTTTTTTAATATTTTATAATGTTTAGGGATGATAGAAAATGCTTTTAGAGCTTCGGTTTCTCTCTGTGCGTCCGCCACCGGGGATAAGCTCCCACCGATGATTATCTTCGCTGGAGTTGTTGGTGCTACTGTCGAGGCGGAAGTGCAGCAAAATCCTTGCATCGTCACCAAGCTATGCTGACAGTTCAGAAAAAAGCTTATTGTGAGGAGATGTGTTGATAATGACGAGAGTGGATAGTTGTTTGTGTCTGTCATGGATAAATTTGGTATGTACCTTGCATTTAACGAGGTCAATGGATCGGACGGTCAAATGGACCATAACGAAGCGACGAGAGGATGGACATGCACTTGCAGTTGCAGTTGCAGTGTGACAGGCTGGCAGCTCATGTGGACCACAATGTATCCCTTTTAGACGAGAATGAGATGCATGAGTGGCACGTGCCGTGCCGGGCGATCACAAGCGAAGTATGGAAAGATATTGGGTTGTGTGAGGCGGCGAGTGGCGCGAATGATGCAAGGGCCATCATCGTGCAGCACGTGCGCCCTGCACATCCCGATGAATCCAGTGATCGGATGCGGAGAAGTGGTGAGGGTCGCTCAGCTGAGAATCTGCTCTGTTGGGAACAGGTGGGTTCGATTCTACTCAGTGAGTAGCGAGTCGAGTGGACGAGCGTGAAGGTCGCACGCGTGCTGACGGGGAATCTGGCGTGTGTGTGACTGGAGGGAAGTGTAGGCTGCACTAGCAGGTGGCTAAGGCAGTCTACGTTCTGATAATTAAGTAGGAGCGGACAAGTGGTGGACGCTCCGACGCAGGATCAAGTGGGTCCTGTCGGCCAGTACTGTGTACTACTTGGTCTAGAGAACGCCGTAGTGCAGCACTGTGGAGCGACGACCCGCCCCACGGCCGGACGAGATAGTTGGCCCGTTACAGAGGTAAACCGTTAGCTCACAACGCGGCCATGCAGTACTATCGACAAGCCAAACTTCGGCTGCTTGACAAGTTCCCCAATCACCGAGCATCTCTAGAAGCCCGGTGCTTAAAATGGAAAAGACACTCGACAACTTTTGCTGAAGCATGATGGTGGCTGTCTCGTAGCTAAAGCCCCTCCATACAATAAGTCTGATTTATACTTTCGTGGTTAAAGGGCACACAAATCGCCTTTTTAGGGGGTTGTGTAAAGAACTGTACGAACCAGCCTCTATTAATAAAATAGCGACTTTTCACCGAAGTTCAACTGATCTTGTGGCTCATAGCATATACCGTAGGACTCGCAATCATCAAAGCATACTTTACTCAAGTCAGAATCATGCATCAGGTTGCATCATCATGCTATCTTCAACGATTTGCTACAAGCGATAGTCCATAACGATTACCGTGATTTTGCTAAAGGTCGAGAAAAGCGTCCTTTTAGTAGCAAATGGCTTTGATTGATGTACTATAGTTTATGAAGGAGGCGCACGAAAGGGCTAAAAAGCTGATGATGTATCTGTATAGTTTGGCCAGTTCCGGGAGCGACAGCTGGGATGCTGTGCTGCGCCGCCATGCCAACTTTAGTACTCGTTTTATTGGGCGTCTGATTAAACGTAGGTCCGCAAGCAAAACATTCAGCAGACAACGTATTTGCCTTTCTTTGGCTCGAGTTAAGACGTGGGGGGAGCAAGCGTTATCGCTCTTCCCAGAGGTCGGCTTTGCAACGTGCCTTTTGCTTGCCATTGCGTTAGCCTTACTCGCTCAAGATACACCATGCCCGGGCCTGGCTCGCGATCTCCCCGCCAAAGTCGTACACACGATTGGAGCGCTATCGCTGGATGTGCCTTTGGTTGACCTGCTGGAAGCGCCCTCAGAGCCTACGGGTCTCGTTTTGCCGCAACAAACCTTCGAGTCGATTTCACTACCACCGTATTTGCTCATGCTAGCCGCGTGATCGATCGTGTTGCGCAATCAGCTGGTGTAAACATTGACCTAACATCACATTACTTTCGGCGTGAAGGAGCACAGCATGCGAATTGGTGCAACAAGAAGACAGCTCGGTGGAACTTCGACAGAGACGCCCCGGATAGAGTACAGCAAATAAAGGGCTCAATTACATCTTCAGCAACAATCAAGAAGGCCACACGATAGCTAAGATACCCAGCGGAATATTAATCAAGGCAAGCTCTCCATTAGTTGTCCAAGCTTCGACACTCAGACTTTGGTGTCAATCGAATTAATGCAGCGTATCATATTTGCAGCCTGCTGCACGCTCTCGACGGAAATCTTCGCGTCAGCAAGAAGTTACTGGATGCACTCACCGCGATCGCCATCCGCTTGTTTCCGCTTCTTAAGGATTTAGATCCAGAAAGTCCCGTCGTAAGACGTATCCAATTGGCGGTTACTCATGCTGGTTGCTCTTCGGCAGCGATCCTCGCGTGGTCGTCATATCTTGCTTGGTCTATGTCTAGCGGAAATGAAACACAGTTCCACCGCTTCAACGCCAGCGACGAAGAATAGAAGCAGCAGAATCCAGCCAGGAGCCGAAACCAATAGGCTATCCGGCGTCCTTTATTAACCCCCCCCCCCGCACTTATAGGTTGTATTTGACGACATGTGACCAAAAGGTGCGCCAGGTCCTGTTTTTCCACATGTTGTATATACAACATGTTAAAGACAGTGAAATGCACAGGGTTAGGCTGAAAAATGCACAGGACACGCACGCAAAACTCCTCAGATTTGTCACAAAGGTTGCTGACTCTCGCCTCGTGTAATCCACTGACTTCACACATTCGAGAAAAAGCAACGGGGACCAGAGATGGTTGGCCGACGCAAAACGCGTCGCGAGTCAGAAGCCTTCCTCGCCCGCCTGGCAGGCAAAAGCTCGGAGGATCGGGTGCGCTTGACTGCCCAACACACAGCATACCTGAACGGAGAGAGGGAGACGAATGCTGACTTCGGGAACGAGGCCGCGGGGGCAACGCAGAGGACTTCGGTGGCCGCGACGAAGGTAAGGCAGACGACGACGGCTATGACTCGTGGGCAATCCATTCCAGCGCTTTCGAGCCGACCACCTGTTGGAAAGACGGCGTCGTACATTGCAGCGGCAAAGAAGCTGCGGGCAGCTCGTCTCGCAGCTAAGGCCAAAGCGAAGAAAAAACCTGGAAAGGGGAAGAAGAAGATGACCAAGGCCCAGCGCGAAGCTTTGGCAAAGGAAAGGAACGCGTTCAAAGAAATGGAAGCTGTAGCCCGTGTGGAGTCTATATCTGCACGACGTGATGCCGAGAAAGCAAGGGAACGTGCGCACGTGGTCGACGAAGAACGCAGCGGGGCTGAAGCGCGCCAAGCAGCGCTGAAAGCACTAGCAGCAGCAAGGAGGAAGGAATCGTCAAAGTCTCCCGCAGCGAAGAAGCAGAAGAAAACCGCCAGTCCGCACCTTGCTGAACCAGTTGAGGATTCAGATGCAGACGACGAGAGTATGCTGTCTGCACCAAAGTACGTGATTCTCGACATGCTGAACATACTACATTCACTAATTGTGTTCATGTTGTATCTGATGTTATGTTGTTTCAGATCACCACCAATACCACTCGAAGCCACAGCCCTGCCTCCAACCAGACATCAAACGG